ATTTATTTCAAAAGGGCTAGAAAAAAATATCTTATGCAAATATACGTTTTTAAAAGTTCTTAATAATAACTGCTTTTTAATTTAAAAAAAAGAAAGAAACTATCTACTTATCTTTTACATAAAGTTTTTAAAATTTTGGACTCCTTGGATTTCTTCTTCTGATCTCTATATGAACCCTGTATATTGATTATTAAATATTTTTAATTAGCATTTATCTTGACTGAGCATAATATTTGTAGTAGTAACACGTTTGTCACGAAGAATATAATATTCTATATACATTTCCCTAGTTGTTGAAACCATTCTAGATTACTCAAATTAAATTTTTTAAGCTTAATAATTCTCTAAAACATATTTTTAGTAATTATTATTTTGCTTATTTTTCCATCATTTTATAAAAGCTTTTGTAGCGAATTATCACAGTGATTAATTGAGATTATGGCGAACTGTCTCAGCTAGGAATTGTGCTCGCGACAGATTGTCTTTACAACGAGTTGGAGTAACGTTAAGTGTCGCTGTGACGAATTGTGCTCTAAACCAGTGGATCCCAACCCTCGATCACTAGATCAAATGGTAGAGGTCCGCTCTATTAACATTAAACTATTTCCATTTTATTTACTGGAGTGTATTTCTCTCGGGTTTGTGCGACTTTCTATGGACGATAGGTTAACTGGGAGCTGAGATAAACATGAATCTAAGTTCCGTCACCTAAAGCAGCACCCATACCGTGCGCATGTAACTGTATTTTGTTTTGAAGGCATGCTTAAATTCAATTAAATTAAAACTATTGAATCAAAAGCATTTAAAATATAAAAATAAACAATCAATGTCAGCTCCCCTCCCCTTCTGCCGGCCTCGGTAAAATTATCAAACGCTGACCGGTCCCCGACAATGGAAAGGTTGGGGAGCAGGAGCACTGCTCTAGATCAGTGGTTTCCAACTGGCCGCCCCGGGGCTGCATCCGGCCCGCGAAGCCTTATTTTATGGCCGGCGAACTAAAATATATTAACTGTCACTTTTTTGCGGACAATTTTCGTAAAAAATCAATATGGGTTTAAGATACTTTTCTCGTTAATAAAAACCTAGTTTCTTCGTTTCTGTGAAATTTATCATACCAACGATGCAAGAAAATTTATTTCTCAGGTTTTGCATCCAAGAAAATATTTATTCAAATACAAAAGTAATCGTGTATCTCTTTTTTATTTCATTTTTTTTTTTGTATTTTGTGAATATAATTTAGTATGTGTATATCAGAAATTTTCTCGAAGCAATTCTCCTACTTAACTTTTTGAAACCACTCATTTTGGACGAAAATATTTACACGCACATTTGTAAATTTTTAATTAAAAATGTAAATATCTATTCTCTGGTGGTTGCAGCAGACAAACCTCAATTTTGTCATTGAACATTTTGTATGCTACTATGTAAGTTTTAATACCAACCTTTTTAAAGTTTATATCTTAACAATTAGATATCAGTTGCACATTAATTGTTTAATACATGGGTGCACATTAAAGTTACTGTAGCCCGAATATTTTAATATGCAATTAAATTTTTTCAAAAATCGACTTCTTATTTTAATTTGTAATTCAATACTTTTGTTTTGTACAACTTGGTAAAAATCTGACAGTAATGTTTAATTTTCCTTCAAAGATAAAAGAGTCCTACATAAAATTTTGATTAAGTTGCGGCCCGCCATTTGATTTGTGTTTTTAATTGTGGCTTCCGGCCTCGTTTAAGTTGGAAACCCCTGCTCTAGATGAACTGTGACAAGACTTGTGTGCGACGAATTAACGCAGACCCGTTTTATTGATGAAAGTATAAAAATAACTGCCAATTGATTTTCACTTGAATGATTAATGGTACTTGAATACATTATTCAAAGAGCAAGAATATACATTGACACCTTTTGCCTTGATTCTTTTATATTTTTAAACATTTTGGTAAAAATCCTTGGCCTTAAAGAAAGTTATAGTCTTCTCCCAGCAACCACTTGAATTCTAATGAAAAGATAAAATATGTTTTCCTATTCTCTATGCATTACTGATTACGTTAGCAATGACGCAACATGTTTTTAAAAGATCCGCCTTGTCTATAAATGAGTTCTGAAAAAACACATTTAAGAACATTAAAAAGATTTTTTTTTTCCAAACGATTTTTTTTTTTGGTCCAAAGACGATTTTTTCAAACATAAATATATATATATTTATGACTATTTTGAACTAGATAGCGAAAAAGATAATAAAGTTGTAGATAAAATGTTTTACTGCAAATAAGTTTTCTTCGTCTCAATTGACTTAAAGGTGAGTTTCTATTTACTATAATAATATTCTCAGAACATCACAGTATATTAAGAAATTAATTGAGGTAGCAATATCACTTTAAATTTTTACTTTCTAAGTTTGCTTGAACCCAAGGCTATGACTTTAAGATACAGCATTTCAAATGTTCTTAGGCCTTATGTGAATAAGATACAATTCAGGCAATCAAATTTACACACAAAGCCAGCATCTATTTCAAGATGGCGTATTTTTCTCCATAAACTTTTTTCTGTAAGCTTGCCAGGTAAGACAAATTTTACTTTCATTGCAAAATAAATTGCTGACAGAATTATTTCTAACAAATTTTATTTATTGATATTGGTTTTAAGAGATATTTTATTTAATATTTTATATAATATTATTCTAAATTATAAATTTTGTTCGTAAGTTCGTACGAGGCTTTCACAGCGCTAACTGAGGAACTGTTTAATTAATGGAAGTAATAATTAAAGCAACGGTGCAGACATGGGACCCCATGACCTGAGTATTTGCAGACGCAGATCCAAAATAGAATTTTTTGCAAATAAAAAAAAATAATTTGTAAGCATCCATGTCAATTATAATAATTCACAAATCGTTTGTCTTTTTCATTTAAATAAAGTCCAATGACCTTATTGATCTTTCCTTTTGTTTGATTCTGGCTCAAACACATATCGTTTAATTCATTTTATTGAGTGCATAGCAGCATTTGTATTTGACACAGTATAGCTGCATCCGGGTCTTGTTTCATTTGGATCACAAGTTTTAATTAAAATATATATATTCTTACAATTATGACTGCTTTTATATTTTATTAATGATAGGTAGCGTCGTTAGCATGATTTACACATTTTTTTTTCTTTCATGGAAGTAATTTTGCCCAATGTCAAGTCGAAAAGCGTTAGCTTGTTTAATTATATTTACATAATAGTTTTTTTTTTTTTAATAATAGTTTAGTTTATATTTACATAATAGTGGCTTTTTCTTAGAATATTATATGATCTTTAAAATTAATAAATTTTTGCAGAGAATCTCTAAAATTTGCGATTTTTCTTTTTCAAAAAAAAAAAAATAAATAAATAAATAATAAGTTTCTTGGCAGAATTATTTTATTGATTTCGGGACATTTAATATTACTATAAAAGATTTTAAAAAATTATTCAATTACAAATTAATTATCAAAATAAAGAGAAATAATTTGGGTCTGTGATATTTAACTATTGATGGCAAGCGTACAGTGAGGGAGGAAAAAAGAATCGAATTACTAGTTCTAATGACGGGATTTTCACGATTTCAATGGTTCCTCTCCATGCAACGCAAATTCCATTAAAAAGTCCTCCACGAAGGCAAAATTCCCCCAACTCTTGATCCGTGAGTTCCCTTGTCTTCTGGATTGGGTTCAGAATTACAAGGTTACGTAGTTGAACATTTGTAGTAATAAATCCAAAAAATCCAACGATTGCTATAAAATGTAATAAAATTAATCAATGCTGAGCTGTGATTTCTTAGTGGATAGCGCGTTCGCTTTCCAATGAGGTGAACCGGGTTCGAATCGCGGTTATGGCTGGTCGTTGTTTGCCAAGGGCTGGTCGATACGAATTCTGCAGCCGGCTTGCACCGACCTCAGTACTGATGTAAAATATCCTAAGTGGTAGACGGATTATGGGCTAGAGTCCTCATGCCATAGTGAAGTTTTCGTGGTTTTCCTCTTCATAAAACGCAAATGCGGGTTAGTTCCATCAAAAAGTCCTCCACGAAGGCAAATTTCTCCCAATACTTGATCAAGGAGTTCCCTTGTTTTCTGGATCGGGTTCAAAATGACAAGGCTACCGAGTTGAACATTTGTAGTCCTAAAGCCAAAATAAGGTGGATAGTTCAACGTCGGTTATATATATATAATTTAATTAATTAATTAACTAATCAATGCTAATTATTAAATAGTTACGGAATCAGACACACAATCTTATCTACTTTCTCTGTCATGTCCGAAATACAGGGGTTAACAGTGTTCTGAAAAATAAGGTCCCAAAATTTAGTCAGGAGACTATTCGAAGGATTGTACCTCTAATTAATAATTTTATTTTTTGGGAATTTTGCAAACTTTAATGGAAATTTGGAAAGCAAAGCGAAAAAGTTTTGCACATAATTATAAAATTCGTTTACCAAAGAAATCTATCGATCTATAAAATAAAATAAATTTGAATAATTGTTTATTATTTTTTAGTATTCAATTTAAAAATGGTCGAAAAATATTTGAATTGTAAGGTATATAAATTACATAATTTATATAATTTCATATGACAAAATCCAAATTTTAAAAGAAATAGGTCTGACAGTTTTGAGAAAATAATATTTAAAACATCTCTTTTTTTCCCCTTTCAAAAAAATATTGCGGACTTTAAATACCTAATTGGTCAAAATCAATATCTGAAGAAAAAAAAGTATATATCTTGTCAAAATATGTTTTTATGTTTATTTCCTTAAATAGATGCTTCTAATGAATCAGCATATTCAGCCACTAATAAAATAAACTTTAAAATAGTAAATAAGATTCGGATCGTACTTTTTCCCTCTCCACAAACTAGCTGGATGGAAAATGATTTTGCTTATTTATTGCAAATGGAAACTAAAAAAGAATATCAAACATGTGACTTAGCTGATTCCTAATTGGCTGCAAAAAGGAACGAATCATATTCTTCAAATCCTCAAAATGGTATCTGATTCAAAACAAAGATGATTCAATGGTACATGATTGAAAGGCTAGTCATGATATGTTTAACTTTAATCTAAGAAATAAAATAAAAATTTTCAAGTTCTCAATTTACATTTAGTGTTGGAATAGTCGCCTTTCATTCTGTTTGCTCGTTACGAACACAACCTATCACTTAACGCCTTTATTTTGTTGATTAAAGTAGTTGTTGCTACACTACTCAGGAAGGGGTGTTTACATATTTATCCTGTGAGTTTCTATTTATTCTTTTTTTTCTGTGTGTCTGTGTTATTATATTTAAAATATTACCGGCATTTTGTTTATCTTAAACTGCAGATTCGTTTCGTTTTGATCTGTAGGATGTTTTATTATGTAGTAGTTTTTGAAACGTTATAGGTTTATTAATTTTTTTTTTTGCATTAAAAAGAAAATTTCCTAAATTCTTATCAATATTAAAGCATGATGGGTAATAATGTATAAGTAGTTGAGCAGATGTTTTTTTTTCCCCCCATTTGTTTGATATTTTTGTACGAACATAAATTCATTTATTTTTAAACGCATTAGATTATTATGTGGGGTCTATATTTATTAAAATTATTATTTCAGTGTTTATTCTCTTTTCTTATGAATTCTATGTGAGTTTAACTTATGTATTTATTTATAACTAAATGTATCTTTTCTTCATTTCTTATTTTACACACCAGAAATACATACTAGGGTATGTTTTTTGCATTAAGCATTTTCCCATATTTTTTTATAAATACGAGAGAGATCTCTTTTTTTTAGAAAAATTTTAGATATCAAATTTGACACAAGTAAATTTAAATTTTATTAAAAGTTAGAGATATGTATCAACACAAAATCTTTGCTGGGTTGTAATTGCTTCAAAAACTGACAATGCAATAATAGAAAACAGCTAAATTATTCATGTATTAAATTAATTATTTCATATCGCTGTTTAATTATAATATTTTAATTAAGCAAACATTTTATTTTCTATTTTTCAGCTAATCTAGTCTGTGTTATTGTGTAGCATTTAGAAATTATTTTAGTAAGCTTTTGTGTGAAATTATATATTCAGATTGTAATTGGAATAAGTTATTACTATTTAAGTTACTAAGTTAAAGCCTATTTTAGTTTAAATTTCATTTAAAAAATGTTTAAAATAAATTGTAAAATTTATTGAAAACTTATATGGGTTTGGCTGTTACAATGGTACACTTTCATCAGTAGGATAAATTTTCTAATCCCCTACTGATGAAGATGTTCCATTGTTACAGATGTACCATAGTACACTTTCATCAGCAGGATAAATATTTTTATCCTACTGATGAAGATGTACCATTGTGACAAAAATATTTTTATCTTATTGTTGTGGCACTAAAACATAATGTTTTTAATAAAAGTTTACTAATTATTATTTTAAATGTTTTTTTAATCTACTCCTTATTTTATCTCGAGTTAAGCACTGCTTAGAATATATATCTTATGGCATTAAGCTGTACATTTATTTCAGTGCAAATATTATAAAGTCTCAAAATCTACTTAAATGATGAATGATTGAAATTATTTCTCAAAACATCTGTGATGCATTTATTTTTATAATTTATTCATTGTGAAATGTCAGAATAATGATTTTCCGATGCTTTAAAATTGATATTTCTCAAATTCATATTTATATTGTCAACATTTTTAAATGTCAGGCATATATTTTTTCCCATGAGCTATAAATGCAGGGATGGTATTCATCTAGTACAATATTTCGGTTCTGTGGACATCATTTGCTGAAGGAGGGGGTGGTGTATAGATGCCTTTCTCTATAATTAAAAATCTCTTAAAGCTCCCTACAATATTTCAGATAAATTAAGAAAATTTTTATGAATCATCATCATTCATTAATGCTAAAAACGAGAAAAAATAATGAATCTTTTTGCAAGTATTTAGCAGACATATGAACGTGTTTTCTTTCAGGTGAAATTTAGCGAGCTATTTCACTGTGATTTTAATTTTGTCCACTCATAATTTAAACTCTTGCGTTTAACTTTTATGACCTTTAAATGTTTAACTTGTATTCAGTTCTTATACCATAGTCTGTTTTTTAAGGATTTATTTTTAAAACTGTTATGCCAAAAATCATTAAAATATTTCATTTATGTACTAGAATAAATATTATTATTCATATTTTTATTGGCATATTCTATGAATTGTTGAAGGTCAAATATTAAATCCTAATTTTCCTATGCAACTTAACATGCATTAAAGAGAATATATCTAGGGGGGAAAAATTTATTGCATAAATATAAACTTTCAATACAGTCTGATATGATAACAAAAGACTTGGAACATGCTAAATAAAAAGACAAAAAAAAAACATGAATTGTTAGAAGTGCAGATTCCTTAGTATTTTTTCCTATATTTCATGAAAATTTATAAATTTATGCTGTTGTTAAGCTAAAATTTACAAAGAAAAAAAAAATATTGCAAATTATAAGAAAACAAATATTTTCATTAGATTGATTGGAAAATTAAGGTAATGATTGTATTATAATTTTGATTTCATTGAGTCTTAAAAAGAACTCTCCAATTAAATAAATAAATAAAAAACAAATTTTTTTTTCTGCTCAAAACTATAATGTCTACTTTAATATGCAATTATTATTATATTTGAATAGCTTCAGAGAGATTCATGCACAAATATTTCAAATATGCCATAAAATACTTCAAATGCCATATAATTATTTGGCTATTATTCTTGGGCATTGTTGATTTCAAGTAGTTTTTGGTGACGTTTAACCACTATTTGATGCTAGTCATGACAAAAAGAAAAAGTAAAAAATAAAATTCAACAGCCCATTGAAATAATAAAATTCAACAGCCCATTGAATAATTAAACACAAATTTATGCTAATAAAAAAATGAATAGGAATTTTAACTCAGTTTTGCACATGAAGTTGTAATATAATAAGAGCTATATTTCTTACTAAAAATAATAATAAATAATTTGAAATAAAATTTTTCAAACTTTTTTATGGTGACAACCAGAAATGTATAATCACTGATCATGCAAATTAGGTTCTACCTAAACTTACAACTTAGGCTCTAAAAAGAAAAAGTATTTTCTATTTCGTTAAATATTTCACAAATCATGTTATATATCAAATTGTTTATTTATAAGTTTGAATTCCTTGAGTCAATGGCCGGAACTTTAAATCTAATTTTATAAATTATTACTTCTTCAATATAGTTTTATTTTCATTGTTTTTAATTCTATTATATATGCTAACTCTTCAAGCATTGTGTAAAGTCAATTAATTTTTTATCTAAGTTAATAAAAAAATTCTCAAACTTTTAATAATTATAATTTTTCTAAAAGTATTTTGGAAAAGTTATCGTAACTAAACAACACTCCTAATTTTAAACGAAATTTCAAACCATAAAACTGTGTTTTGGGGAAAATATTAGGCTCTGAGAATTTTCTGCTCCCCAAGATACAACACTAGGTATTAAATCTTACTTTATTTTAAAAAAATAAAGTTTCCACAGTTATCTAGTTAGAATAGAAAATTAATTTTGGTATAAGATGTTAATAATAGTAAGGGGGTACAATGGAATAGTTTAAAAAGAATTATATGTGATAAAAAATAAATTGGAATCGCTTATTTGAACATTTTGAGGTTTTGTAGCAATTAGTTTCATACTGAGAAACAAAAGTGATTTTGAGGGACTCCACCAACAGAGAATCTTTTAACCATTCTTATTATTTTAACAAAAATTGGTTGTAAGGCAAACTGTAAAACATTCTATATTGTATAAATTGCATTTTTTCATCAATATCAAATTATAAAATACTTGTTTATTATGTTCAAAGAAAATTTTAAGTTTTGTCATTTTGTTATGGTTAGTAATTAATATTCTTTAATTAAATTGCATATTAATTAATATCTACTTTCTAAAACCTTTCCTAATTAATAATATATCGGACCTCGGTGAGAAAAATGTCATGACTCTAAAATGCAGCTTTTGAGTAAAATCAACTTAAAGAATACGATAACCCTTATTCTGAATTAGACTCATAACTGACACAACTGCTCCCAGTTGGATAAATAGCGAGTTAGAGNATCAGTTATCCGGAATATCGATTGTCCCGATCGTTCCGGATAATCGGTTCCCTACTGTACATTTAATTTTTTTTGTTGTTTTTTTTGTTTCATGCACTTTATTTCACAAGACTTATTTCTGAAATCTTTTTCTTTTTTTAAGAATAGAAGAAGTCATGGCTCCCAATCAAAGAAAAGTATATGTAGTTGGTGTGGGAATGACAAAGTTCACTAAGCCTGGCTCTACTGGAAATGACTACCCAGATTTTGCCAAGGAAGCAGTTACAAAAGCCTTGCAAGATGCTAAAATAGCATATGATGCTGTGCAGCAAGCCTGTGTCGGTTATGTTTATGGGGATTCAACTTGCGGACAAAGAGCCTTGTATGAGGTTGGAATGTCAGGTATACCAATTATAAATGTGAATAATAATTGTTCTACAGGATCTACTGCTTTGTTTATTGCCAAAGAATTAGTTGAAGGTGGTATTTGTGATTGTGCCCTTGCTCTTGGTTTTGAAAAAATGGCAAAAGGCTCTTTAACATCAAAATTTGATGATCGGACTAACCCAATGGATAAACATGTCTTGGTTTTATCTAATCGCCATGGATTTGCAGCTGCGCCAGTCGCAGCTCAGTTTTTTGGTAGTGCTGGTCGGGAACACATGGAAAAGTATGGTACTAAACCTGAACATTTCGCTAAAATTGCCTACAAAAACCATAAGCATTCAGTAAACAATCCATATTCTCAATTCCGTGATGAATATTCTTTGGAACAAATAATGAACTCTCCTGTTGTTTATGAGCCACTAACAAAATTACAGTGCTGTCCAACGTCTGATGGTGCAGCTGCTGCTATTCTTGCAAGTGAAGATTTTGTGAAAACTCATGGATTAGAAAGTCAAGCTGTTGAAATTTTGGGAATGGAAATGACAACAGATGTTCCAAGTGCTTTTGAAGAGAACAGTAGCATAAAAATGATTGGATTCGACATGACCAAAAATGCTGCCGATAGACTGTTTAAAAAAACGGGAGTAAAGCCGACAGATGTTGACGTAGTGGAATTACACGATTGCTTTGCTACAAATGAGCTCATTACTTATGAAGCCCTGGGCTTATGTGAAGTGGGTAGAGGTGGTGAGTTGGTTGATACTGGCAATAACACATATGGTGGAAAATATGTTGTTAATCCTAGTGGTGGATTGATTTCAAAAGGTCATCCTTTGGGAGCTACTGGTTTAGCACAGTGTTCGGAATTATGTTGGCAGTTACGAAATCAAGCTGGGAATAGGCAGGTGCCCAATGCGAAATTGGCATTGCAGCATAATATTGGACTGGGTGGGGCAGTTGTTGTTACTTTATACAGATTGGGTTTTCCTAGTTCAAGTGATTCTGATATTGTTCCTCCTAAAGAAATCTTCAAACTAAAATCTGCTAAGTTTTTTGAGAGAAGTATCCCATTGATAAAAACAGCTGAAGGCATGGTTGATAAAAGATTGAAAGCATCTGCTAAAATCAGAGTTAATGATGATAATTCTGATTACGTTGCAGAAGGATGCATAGGCGTTGATAAGGGTAAGATCTTTGTGTCTTTCGATCCGAACACTAAAACAGATCTCGTTATAACGATCGGAGATGGAGCTTTATTTGATATTTTAAATAAGAAGTCTACTTTTGAAAAGGCATTTTTTGCTGGGAAATTAAAAATTAAAGGAAATATGGGACTAATCACCAGATTCATGTCATTGAAAAATGTTTTGTTGTCTAAGCTGTAAATGAAATTAATTATGACTTAACTGTCTAAAAGTAAATGTATTAATACATAGGACAAAAATTATTTCAGTATATAACAGTTATTTTTCAGTTAGTGCCATTCTAAGTTAAATTTTTGTTTTGGACTGCCGTAAGTTCTTAACTGTCTAAAAGTAAATGTATTAATACATATGACAAAAATTATTTCAGTATATAACAGTTATTTTTCAGTTAGTGCCATTTTAAGTTAAATTTTTGTTTTGGACTGTCATAAGTTCGTTAAATCTTTACAACTGTTTTTTTCTTCCCTCATCTAGTCTTGCATTAAAATCTCTTAATGTATTGTTGTAATATAGGATCATCATTGCAAAATTCAAAGCTAAATTTTATGGCTTTTGTTTTTCATAATCAAAAACCAGATTGATCTTTATAAGAAAATAATTTAATGCTTGTCAGTCTTGATAGTTTATTTATTTATGCAGATTTTTTTAAACATAATATTTGTGTGATTTATGAAGTGATTTTCTAATTTGTTAAAGTAGCTGTTACAAAAAATACCAAAGAACTCTTTGTTTATACTTTTGTTTTATTATTTTTTTCTTGCTACGTCATTTAAATGTTTGTGGATGAATAATTATAAAATACATTTTAAAACATTCTAGATAAAAAGTTTATTGAATCGATTACATTTTTAATTCAGTAAAATCATTCTAACCATAGCTACTTTAATTTTTATGGGAGATATATTGAAACCAAATTTGAGAAAAAGAAATTTTTAGAAATTAAATGATAGTTAGCTCCATAATGAAAATATATTAAAATGTGATTTAGAATTATATATTTTTTCAGTTATAAAATATTTTATTGTTGTATATTGTCACTAGTCTTTTTTTATGCCAAAGACTTTTTTTCTTGTTTTCATTAGTAGTTTAATTTGTTAAGGCTGTGAGATATAATTTTAAAGTTTATTTACCGATAGTTAACTTTTTTTGGAGCTTTATGAAGTCAGTAAGTCATAGTTCTGAAATAAAATTAAAATATCTTTATTTTAATATAATTTTCTTCTGGATTAGATATGTTTTTATTTTGATGTATGTACCTTTTCTTTAAAAATCTTTTCCATTGTGAATGGCAAAATATCACATTTTTATATTTGTCTTGTTTCTTTCTGTTCCTCGTTTCTGAAACATTATTTCGTTTCTTAAAGATTTAGTTATTTTCTTCATATGCTTATATCTATTTTATGTATTTTAGTGTGTCTTGCTCTGAATAAAAAAAATATTTATAACCCTGTTTTTATATTCGTCATACTTCTTTCTGTTCCTCATTTCAAAAACGTTATTTAGTTTCTAAAAATAAAAAAAAATAAAAAATTCGTATTTAGTATCTATTTTGAGTATCCTAGTGTGTCTTGCTCCGAATGAAAAAATATTTATAACTGTAGGATTTTTAATTACTGACATTTAACTGGAAATTTGCTTATAATTTATGATGGTCTTATTATTTAGGATCATAAGGTAATATATAGCAAAATAAATTAATTTGTATGCCAAAACATGCTGTTTTAATTTTTTTTAAAGCTTAACAGAATTTGTTATTGTATTGGGAGAATTTAGTTTAGCTTTAAGCTTTTATGACTAAATACAGTAACATACTTATGATGTAAGAGCTTGTATACATATATACTGGACTGGGTTATAAAATAACTGCTTCGTTTAAGTTTCTGACGATCATACTGTTCAATGCATTAAAATTTTACTTAAAAGTTTGTCTTCATACAAAATTGTCTAGAAATATGCATTCAAAACCAGAGTTAAAAACATTAAATTCTCACAATTACAACGATTGAATTTTCATAATACAACACCTATCTTTTCTTACTGAAATGTGAATCTCACAGTAAAAACTAAAATGTACCAGAAATGAAGTTAGTGGTCCTATAGGACCACCTAGGTATTCATTTAGTGAGTGAAAAACTTAATGTTGTCGACTAGCAAGAGAAAAAAAATCGAACTTAACAATTACATTAGTCATTTTATGATGCGCATCAAAAATCATTAACTGCCATTTGTTACATTCTAAAAATATTTAGGTCTCTCATCTCATAAGACATTAAAGATTCGTATTTATTAAAATTAAGGGGAAAAAAAGCAAAAATATTAGTCAATAGTTTCAACATACGGGTAATTATGTAAAAAATTATAAATAAAATCAGTTCTAAAAGAGTGAAAACCAAAGCTCACCCCAACATGTAAATTTGAAATATTAACATTTAAATTTTGTTAAAAACTTTTATATCAGACTCTTTCAGTTATTCCTTTCAAAAGGTTTTAAAACTAAAACCTAACCTACGACTCCTACGAGTAGAATAATGAAATTTGTACTTTCAGTTATTCCATTCAAAAGGTTTTAAAACTAAAACCTAACCTACGACTCTTACGAGTAGAATAATGAAATTTGCACTACAAATTTTTTAAAGGCATAGAATACGGCTCCAAAAAAAAAAAGAAAAGCTATTTTTCGTTACTATTTTGTAACTTCCAAACATATTTCAAGGCAGCAATTTTTTAGCGACATCTGTAGAAAATTAGACAACAATTGTCGCTTGACGTGATCCCTAAAAATGTGTCTATTAATTCTATTAATATTAAAAATTACAATAATTATTTAAATTTGAGTAGGAAAAATAAACAAGGAAAAGATAAAAATTAGTAGTTATGCTTTAGGTCATGCACTTATAAAGGAAGTTATACATCTCTTAACTTTAATGTATTATTAAAAAATCTATCTATCTGTGACCTTTCTTCGGAATAATTTCCTTGACTATAAAATGGCTAAATACCACTTCGAAAATAAAAAACCTTTTGACAAACAGTTAAAAAAATGTCTCCACTTCATTATAACCATTGTTTAGTTGAAATTATGAAATACTTTAAAGATAATATCGCAACGATTTGGAAATTTTACAGTGTATGAAAGCTTTGTTTCAGTTCAGAGGGAAAATAAGTTACTGTCTAATTTTAATACAATTCAAAAAAATAGTTCCTTGTTGCAATTTTTATTGTTTTACGCTCTTAATAGAATTTCGAAATTTATTAAAAATCTTTCCCTTCTTGTATTTTGTTAAATCTTGAACTATTTTTCCTCTGTTAAAGTGAGCTTTTAGTTTATTAAAACTGTTTTTTAAACCTCTAATACCCAAACTATTCTAAACTATTATATCATCAAAGTTTTAAATATAAAAATCAAGACTTGTTAGGTATATAAAAGATACATGAAATTAAAGTAACGAATATAGTCAATTTATAGTCCCTTGGTATGCGCAAATCAGTAGCATGTAGGGGAGGAGAAAAAGAGGGCACTAAAACTTTAAAAACTTTTTATTTCAATTACGAAATTATATTTTTTAAAAAGTAAATATTTAGCTCAAGGAAATTTTTTTATGAAGAATAAAAGTATGATTTCTGAGCAAATTTAATAATGGAATTTTTGGTGATTGAAATTAAAATATTCTTTGCATGTGCCAAAAAATTAAGTAAATTTTTTTTATCCAATGAATAAATTCTGCTTACATAAAAAATAGGTTTATAAATACTTATTTCGATTTTGTTTTTCCTCTCTGTAACCTTCAGAGGACGTTATACCGGTGGGAGAAACTTCATGGCAAATTCAGTTATTTTAAAGTTAAGAGAGAAGTGTGTTTAGGTAAGCCAAATGGTGTACTGTGGAACCCTAAGTTTCCGTGTTAGGGTCACAGGTGTTTAGGACATTTTTAATCAGTTACGAATTTCGGAATCTGTCATGAAATTTATATTTAATTGAAATGTTCGGGGAAGAAAAAGTAAAATTTAAAAATATGTATTTTTTAACAGCAATGTATTGAATAAATAATGAAAATGGTATGCATTTATGAAAAATTACATTAGTATTTCGAATCAAATAAAAATAGCAATTAAGAAGTGTGTTTCTCGGTTAACCAATTTCAACGAAAAACCAACTTTAAGCTCATTCATTTTCGGCTTAGGCACATCCTACAATCAAAATAAAAACTAAACTAGTTGCCGCTCGAGATTTGTAAATTCCAACTTTTTGACATAAAACTAAATTCTAAGACTAGTATCGATAAAATATATGATGAAAATATTTTATACTTCATGCATTTATTAAATATTTACAACAAAAAATTAATAGTCCTTCTTAGATTAAAGTATTCACAAAGTCTTGGGGGTTCCGCCAAAAAACACGACCATTTAGTTCCATAGCTGAAAAAGACACGGAACCACAGGCCTAGAGTGCAGTTTTAAATGCTTAAAAAAAGATGTTAAAATATTAATGCAAACAAATTATTACTTGATTATTTCCTTACTGCGTACTGCTATAATTTTTCAAAATATTAATGCAAACAAATTATTACAAGATTATTTCCTTACTACGTATAATTAATTTGCTTTTCGATATTTTGAAAACAAATGTTTTTTTTTTTTTTTTTTTTTTNGAAGCTTTGTGGTTTACCGTAGGTTTAGCTGAACTCCCTTTTTCTATACTTAAATTTTAAATTTCTTATGAATCTTATCGAAGAGTTACACAGAGCATCTCTGATCATATCTTTTAATGATTATGATTAGACCCTTTGTTCGCTACTGCCACAAATCCAATAGGTGTGCAAAGTTCGATGCCAGCGATAAAATATGCACTCCTTACCCTAAATATTGAGTTTTTACTTGAAACAGTAAAATAAATTGAAATAAAAATTAGTTTATGCAATGTATTAATGTTAATAGTATTAAAAAAAATTTACGCAGCTTAACTTTTGAACCCAAAATGGGAACTTTATAATAAAGTTTTAAATAATATCCGCCATAAAAGTACTCTATATTTTAGGTTAGATTATGTTTCATTTCCGTAAAAAATCGTTTTCATAGCGAAAAATTAGAAAATTGAAAACAAAACAAGACCATCTTTTTCTCTGTGTAGAATTAATTACAGTCTAATGATTATAAGTCGTTTATAAATCTGGAATAAATATATTTTTTTTATCAAAATGAATTCTGGTCTGTCAAGTGGATAATTATATAGCCCGTGAATCTTTCTTGTTTTTCAGAAAACAAGGTCATTCTTTTCTATTAAAATTCATAAATACGCAGACGTTTTTGCATTTGTTTAAAAAGAAATTCCACTTGAAAATAGAGGAAAACAATCGTAATCGTTTTCTAAAACCACTGACATATGCAGTTTTTAATATATTTGTTTTCATAGTTAAAGTTATGCATCTGCAATTAGAGTCTAATCTACGTAAAATGTTCTTTTTAAGCTTATAAAAAAAGTCAGATACAGCTAAAAAATTTAAAATCATCTTTTGTTACAATGGAGGAGAAAATTCGTTTATATCTTAAATCTGATTAAACAGAATGAATAGTTCAGATCTTGAAGAATCATTATAATATAAGGTTGAAAAGAATGGTTTCCTGTTGAACATCACTGAATTTCGGAGATTAATGTGTGCTGCATAACTGAAACTCCTGGATGATTTTCTAATTCGAAGCATTTTTAAAATTAAAATAATTTTAAAAATAAAACTAAAAGGGATCAATTTTGATGATTAAAACTGATTCTTATGTTTTAACTGTCAGTATCAAAATTGATTTAAAATTTAGATCTGTGGAGATTTTATGAGTCGTCATTAAACTAAAAAGTAGAGTAACTCGGGTATGGTTGATAGACTTGCTTTATATTTGACAATCAGATAATAGTCTACTAGCTAACTTTTAAAAAGTTGGTTACCGACGGCAGATCATTTTAAAATACCTATTGCAAATCCTCAAAAGTAATCTTTCATTTCAAGATTGTTTTTTAAAATGATTATTCCCATGTACTGAGTCATGATAGCAATATTAAAAAATGGCAGCATTATCTACTGAATAATTTTGAATTAGCATTGATAACAGACCGGACACTTCTGTTGGACAACTCAAAACAACATGTGCCAGGAAATTTAAAAAGAAAAGAAAATATATCTTCTTGATTAATTATGTAATGAATTTTTTTTATAACTGGCATTGAACAGCAGACCTGATTGTTTCAGCTTACAACTACTAATGCTTAACTCCGTAGCCTTATAATTTTTAACCCAATACAGAAGACAAAGGAACTCCTGGATCAAGTATTGGGAGAAATTTGGATGGAATTAACCACATTTGTGTTACATGGAGAGAGAAACCACAAAAACCTCCCATGGTTAGCCTGACGGCAAGGGGACTCTAACCCATGATCCGTCTACCACTGTGGTCGGTGCAAGCTGGATGCGCAATTAGTGTCAGCCAGCCATCGCTGTGATTCGAACCCGGTTCACCTCATTGGAAGGCGAACGCTCTATCCCTTGAGTCATCACGGTTCATAGTAAACTTTAGAAAATAACTAAGTGTTTTGAAATTATTTTATTTATTAGAAATTAGTAAAATATGAAGAAAAAAAAAGAAACTTGACTATCGTTTTAAACAGCTTATTTTCTAGGATTGCGCTTTGTTAAAAATTAGTAGAAAATAAAGCGTTTGACAA